TATATATATATATGCAAAACATTTAGACCAGCCAGATTTAATCAACATTTTTATCAAGTTATGGCAGTACTGCACTGCAGATTGAGTACCACAGTCAGCAGACCATAACCAAAATCTCTATCCTCACAATAATAATTATGAGAACAAGTAAACATTGCTGGCGTAATATTTGAACGGACAGATTAAAGGTCATCATTTAGTCTCCCTCATGTCATTCCAAGTTTCATATTACATTTCAGATATTATATCCATTTTATGTCTTGCGTCCTGCATGAATGGCCTGTATGAATACCTGTAAAGAAGAAAATCTAAAATAAAATGCAATACATATGGCATGTTCTTGCATGGTACCTTTATTGAAACGTATCAGATGTGTAACATTATTGATGATGTTATATATTGACTAGGCCCTTACAAATGCGTTATTTGTGGAAGCTTCTAGTTCCCCGTTTCTCTCTTTTGAAGGTTTCCCAAGTGGTAGCGATGCCGCTTCATCACTTCCCAGTGGGCAGCAGCTTGACCAGCCTGCGTCTGTGTTCTGATGGTACCTTCCTCTACTGGGTTTGGTCACCTGTCAGCATCAACGAGAAAACCCAGAAAGGCCACTCTGTCTTCATGGATGTCTTCCAGCTAACAGTATGAACTTGAGACTTACAGACTTACTGATTTCACTATGTTCTCTGTGCAGATTTATAGTTGCGTTTACAGTTTTCTATTGCATGCAATAACTGAAGTTCACTTTAGCAAACTTATAAAAAAAGAGTACTTATTATAGTAAAAATAATACACTTTAAAAGAAAATACTTAAGTATGAACTGAATGCACTTAATTACATATTAAATTAAAATGTTTTAGTTCAAATTTATACTAAATGCAATTAGTTAAGATCTTAGCACTTTTTTGACCCACTTAAAACAAAAAGTAAATTTTGTATGCAATTTCATGATAACTTCTATTGTCTTTGAAATATGGTTAAAGTGCTGCAGAATGTACTGACAGCTAAAATATACTTTAATGTTATTTCTATTGACACAAGTATGTCATATATTTAAATATATTTGTAATTACACATTTGTAATGATGATGCTGCAATTTAGTACATATATTAATTCTAAATGTAATATTGAATAACAAACTGCAGTTAAAATGATAATCAAGTACTTTACATGTGCTTTAGTATGTTAGTCAACCCTTTCAAATAAGTGTACTTTAAAGCAGGACAAAGATTATTAAAACATAATGATTTAAAAATGTAAGCTAACGTAAAACATTTAATTTGATATTATTGCAGAGTACCACTTTTTAAAAGTGTACTTAAGTGTGTTGAACTCACTTAAAGAGTTATTTAGTAGAATTTTGCCAGGAAATGTTTTAGAATTTTTATCACGTTAATATAAAAAAATCTTGTGTGATATAACTTGTGTTTGTTTGTTTGCTGGTTTTTATTGTATTTATTATACTTGTATTTTTTAAATAGTTTTTGCCATGAAAATAGCCTTTGATGCTGACATGGCATTACATAAATATATACGATACTATACTTAAGTGTGTTAAGAAACGGTCATGAGAGTGTCTCTCTTTAAGTCACTTAAGTGGCCTTTTATTTCATTAATATTATATTACCTGCAAGTCCAGTTTTTTTTAATATACCTTTAAAATTTGAAGTATAATAAAAGTGCACATTCAATACAATTAAGTGCACTTCTTTCACAAGGGAATTATCATAAATGTTGCAAGTAAATAAGTGTTACGATAAACCTTCATTTCACAAGTTCTCACGGTCTGTTTTTTTGTGTGTGTGTGTGTGTGTGTGTGTGTGTGTAATGAACCCTCACTTCATGAGCTCCCAATATCTGTTTTGTTTTTTGCAGACTGAGTTGGGTCTGTGTGTGGCCAGTCCTATTCAGGATCGGGTAATCCTCTCGCGAAAGGAAGGCGAGTCATCGAAGTGTTTGAATGAGCTGCTCCTGAGCCGTATGTCCCGCTTTCGTGCCTCGCACTCGTCCACGCTGGCTGCTCTCACCGGCTCCGCCATCACCAACCCCGTCAAAGAGGAGCAGTCGGGTAATGCTGCTGTATGTTGTTTGTGCCTCGCCTGTTCCCAAGCACCAGCTTCTTTGGCTTAGTTTCTATAATGGGAGCTGTTGTGAAAGAGAAGTGCACTTAATTGTATTGAATGTGCACTTGTAGTGTACTTCAAATATTAAAACTGAGGATGCACGATATTATTGGAGTATTATCGGAATCAACTGAAAAATGTATGCCGATATGCCTTGCCGATAAGACGAATAACTCACATGTGCTCTGGGTGTGTTAGGTTAGGTGTTTTATTTATTTAGGGAGTGCTGTAGGCCTACTTGTAATAAAATGAAAAGTAAAATACACAAATAACATTAAGATATAAATAAAGCAGTAACCTCATAACATCACGAGTCTGTTTTGATTTAAAGGTTAGAAGCTATAGCTTACATGAATAAAGCAATGACACTTGTAAATTAAATAATTTAATATATACAGATTTATTCATATTTTTTCAAATGGATTATGAATACAAGGAGCTCTAAAATATTTTTAGAATTTTTACTGCTCTTTTGCTTTAGACCATCTATTAATGTTAAACCCACAAATAAAATGTTGAGGTTTCATCTGCATGTCAAAAAAACAAACAAAAAACCCAGCAGAGATTGATTTTATTAGTTATTTTCAAAGCTTTCAATGTCCTCTCTTTAAAAAAATAACTTTAAGATTTATTAGTTCTAACAAATACATTTGTGCTCAAAACTAACGTTTTGATTTAAAGGTTAGAAGCTATAGCTTACATGAATAAAGCAATGACACTTGTAAATTAAATAATTTAATATATACAGATTTATTCATATTTTTTCAAATGGATTATGAATACAAGGAGCTCTAAAATATTTTTAGAATTTTTACTGCTCTTTTGCTTTAGACCATCTATTAATGTTAAACCCACAAATAAAATGTTGAGGTTTCATCTGCATGTCAAAAAAACAAACAAAAAACCCAGCAGAGATTGATTTTATTAGTTATTTTCAAAGCTTTCAATGTCCTCTCTTTAAAAAAAGAACTTTAATAAGATTTATTAGTTCTAACAAATACATTTGTGCTCAAAACTAACCAAAATTAAAAATAATTTGATTAGCATTTCTGCACAGGAGAGACTTGGTGTTGTTTCAAAACGTGCTTTTGCGATTAATCGCATCCAAAATAAGTGTTTGTTTGCATAATATATGTGTGTGTTCTGTGTATATTTATTATATGTATATATAAATACACATTGACTAGCGACTATCGTTATATTGATTTGATGTCGTTTACAATCAACAGATGACCGGACAACACACCTGACCGGTCGAAATGTTGCACTGTTTAAATAAATAATTTTTCAGATCTCGAGTTCAGTATGCAGATTTTTATTTTATTTTTTCCAGATAATGTTTTTCAGATAGTGTGACCAATTTTGGGTTTTGGATGTGTACACCAACTGTATTTTTCATGTCATTTTAGGATCATTGAGATGCAATTAGATGCTATAGCCTATTATAGTTTTTATCAGTATTATATATTTTTTTTATAAAATAACATTTTCTGTTTTGATTTTAGTTAGAGCATTTTAGCAGTTTTGTTGTGTGTCTTTGTCTTTTGTAAATATGTCTTTAAAGTTTTTAGAATTTTTTTTTCAGTACATCAAGTTAAATGAACATGAGACATTTTTTTTAATGGTTTTAGTTAATTATAATAACCCTGGCTAATTGGAAAAGTAGAGAAAACAAGCACACCTGCACGTTCACGTCTCTGCTGTGCTGTGGATCCTCACTGCAGTTTAAATTGCAGTGTTGATCGTGGGCTCTTGTGGCTGTTTTTTTCTCTCGTCCCAGTAGTCAACACAAGCTGTGGTCTGTCTATAAAAGCACTGAGGAAGACGCCGATGTACGTGTGTGGGACGTATCTGGTGATGCTGACGCCCGCTCCAGGTGTAGCTGGGAGCTCGGCCACCCGCTCGCTGTTCGGTGGCTCCAGTGGCCTTTCTTCCCTCAAGAGTAAGATCTTTATACCCGAAACAGTCATTTTAATTAAGCACTGTTTCATACTGATCTCTATCATGGATAGTGTCAGAATGGTGATTAATCATTTAACGTTATCCATTCTTAACACCGCTGTTACCTAATCAAATGCATAACAATTAAAGGGACAGCTCACCCAAAAATGATTGCATCATCTGTTCACCCTCTTGTTGTTCCAAACCTAGTGAACTTTAATAAAGTCCATGCGATCCAGTATTTATTTACATTGGAGCTTTTATTAAACATTCTCAAGCTCTTGTTACCATTTTCATTCCCTGCCTTGTGTTTTCTTTCCTAGTCTTGGCGTCTAGTTTGGTGTTTAACCTGGCCGACGGTCAGTTTAGCAGTCGTGCTGATCTGGTCGATGCTCCTGGAAGTTCTCTGGGTCGCGGAGCTCAGGTTGCAGGACTGGGTAAGAATCAGACATTTCCACACGTTAAGGTCCTTTCACACTTAACATGATGCAAAAAAGCTAATCGCATGTCAGACTAATTCACCAATATGCACTGGGACTGTGAGTAGTCAACATTTGAAGTGGATCAAAACCTTTCATCAAAGTTAACCTAAAACAAAAATGAGAGCTTTCTTGATCTGCTTCAAATGTTGACTACTGTGTTATAAGGTGTTATGCATGCATTATAGTGCATTAAGAATACTCTTATGATGCATTATAAATGCAGGCTTTATCTACTGTTATAATGCATCGTATTATTAAAAGTTATAACCACAAATAGGTAAGTATTATAATGTGTTGTAACTGTTGTTATGATTATTTATCAGATGATGCAACATATTATAAGGTTGTTTATAAAGCATTATGCATGCATTAAGAATACCCTTATGCATTATAAATATACAGGCTTCGTAGAAAGTGTTACAAAATGACAAAAGCGCATGACAAAATTGCTAAAATTGATCTAAAATAAACTGAAAATATAAAAGTAAACGCTAGATCAACATATTAATAAATGCTGTAATAGTATAAAATAACACTGCGTCACATTCAGGTTGTTATTTTTCCATGTTTTATGTCTTGGATTTATAGTTTTAATCTATATTTTTTTGCTATTGGGCTTGTTTTCCATTCTTCAAGTGTTCTTGAAATATCTCTCTTAAGTGTTGTATGAGTACTGATGTTATGTTTTGATAATGATTGTTCCAGGGGCCTGTTATGATGCACTTAACAACTTGATCTGGACGTGCTCCAGCGACTACATTGTATTTTATATTTAATCTGTATATCTGTATTTATGTTCTACTGTTAGTGTTATCTGTATGCACCAAGGGTCTGAGAGTAACGCAATTTCAATTCTCTGTGTGTATGTGCTGTACATGTGGAAGAATTGACAATAAAGCAGACTTGACTTGACTTGACTTGACTTGAGATTTTTAAGAGGAGTGAGCTAGAGATCTACAGAGAGTGTATAGAGTTGTCTGCTGTGCAACGGGGCTTCCACTTCTCTCTGGTCCAGTTTGTTTTCTACTTTGCACAAGCCCTGAAACAAGCCTTCATATCTTAAGAGAAAAATTTACTAATGCATTTTTAAAGAAACCTGTTTCTTTTGTCAATTTTTGTACAAAACTGAACTTTAGTGAGGTGAGCTCGTGGTTGTGGTGTAGTTTGTTCTGTTTTAGCTTGGTGGTGTTAACTAGTGTGAAGTGTTGCAGTTGTGCACTAGTTTCTGCTTCTTAAAGCCTACTTAAAGTTGTCACCATTAAAACAAGAAAGCCATTTAAAAAATAGCAAAAGAAAACAGGTCACGCTCCAAAAAAGCAAAAAAAAAAAAAAAAAAAAAGACATGAGCACAGATGCACATTTAAAATTTTCAGTCTTTCCCTTCTGGAAAATGTACCAAAAATGTTGATGACTCATCCTGTTCATATTGGGTGGTAGAAGTTATGAAAAACATCACTTTAAATAATTTATTTGATCAAAAACAACAGAAAAATCAAGGTTTTGACCAAATTCATGATAATGATTGTTCCAGGGGCCTGTTATGATGCACTTAACAACTTGATCTGGACGTGCTCCAGCGACTACATGGACCAGTGGTGTAATCCTGGGAATCAGGCCTTCCATCATGTGTGCCAGCGACTGGGCGTCAGTCACGTCATCAGTCAGCCTAAAGGTACTGAAACTATATGCCTATGTAAACAAAAAGTACAAAACAGTTAGCTGGAATAGATTTTTGTATGGTGTAAGATTGTACAACATAACATTTTCGACTTTCGAAACATTACACCATGTCCTAACCAGGCACAGTTTCCAGCTGTTAATAGTGATGAAAGCTTATTTTGCTTAAATGTCACTTGTGAAAAAAAAGTGCGCTTTTGCATACTTTTAAAAGAGCACTTATTACTGTATACTTTGAAAGAATATACTTAAGTGTAAATGTTTTCAGACACATAATTGCATGTTAATTGCAGTTAAGTAGAAATGTATTATAATTAAAATTTATATTAAATGCAATCAGCTGAACTTCAACAAAAACTAGTGTGTTTTTGACCGATTTAAGTAAGACTTAAGTACATCTGTTGTCTTTGAAATATGGTACTGCTGAATGTACTGTCAAGCATTTGTGATGAACTACAATATCTATGTCTTGTGTTTTTAACACTATTTGTAATTACACATTTGTAACGATGAAGTTGCAATTTAGTACATTTAAAATATATTAATTTTAAATGTAATATTACATAACACATTACAGTTAAAATAATAATCAAGTGCTTTACATGTGCTTCAGTTTGTTAGTCAAGACATCAAAATAAGTGTACTATAAAACATGACAGGATTATTAAAACATAAATTTGACATTATTATAAAGGTCACTTCTTAAAAGTGTACTTAAGTGTGTTAAGAAACAGTCATGAAAGAGTCACTTAAGTGGCCTTTTATTTCATTAACATGAACAGTTTTATTGTTTTTTTTAAATATACTTTTAAGATTCGAAGTACACTACAAGTGCACATTCAATACAATTAAGTGCACTTCTTTTTCACAAGGGTGTTTTTTTTTTTTTTGTTTGTATCATAAAATAAAAGTGATAATAAAAATGATGGTGACACTTTCTATGAAGCCTGTATTTATAATGCATTGTAAGTTATAACCACAAATTGGTGTATCTATATATTTATTTATTATTATTTTTTAGATTCGAAGTACACTACAAGTGCACATTCAATACAATTAAGTGCACTTCTTTTTCACAAGGGTTCATTTTTCAGTGGTGCACTGGAGTTCTGATAGGCCACTTGCTTTTTTTAGGTGTGCTGATATTTTGTACATAAGTGATCTGTATCGGTTTCCCAGTAATATGTTTTTGACTCTTTATGACAGAAGAAATGATAGACACATGCAAAGTGATAAACCAGCTGCTCCATCATGTTGGCGCCATGTGCATCCATCAGCTCAACCTGCTGGCAGCCAGCAGTAATCTGCACCTGGGACCCTTCATAGGAAAGCAGCCCATGGAGGCCTGCCACTTCAGCTCCATATGTGACGTCATGGAGAAGGCCATGGTTAACGAAGACACCTGCATCATCCGCTGCATTCTGGTCGTCTTTCAGGTGGGGTTTTTCTAGTAACACTTTATTTTGATGCTCCCTTTTTTTAACATTCTGTTGGCAATAAATAATGTTGCACCTACATGTCTACTAACGCACATTAGAGTATTAGAAGACTTTCTGCTTAATATCTGCTAACTCTTTATTGTCATGGTCTCCCAACAGACTGACTGTAAGTAACTTTGGAAGTACATGGGTCAAAGATGTTAAGATGCCCGCATCAAAATACATTTACAAAAGTGATTTTATGTCCATAGAAAGCACATTAAATGTAAGTAAAGTGTCTACTTTTAAGGTTTCAAATAAGTTTTTGGAGAATAAAATGTCAAAATTTGGTAACAAAATAATGTTACATTGTCATTCAGTGTAACACAATATTTATGTAAAAATTCAAACATGCTTATTCTGACGTGTACATATTAAAATATATAAAAGAATAAGGGAGCATATTAAATTTGATTGAGTAAAAAATTCTTACTGACCAATGGGCAAAACCTAGGATAGTGGCACATTTTAAAAATGTAAAATTACAACTAATTAATATTTGAGGTGAAAGTAATTAGTCTTTTAATATGTCATAAATTGATTTTTGTTGTAAATATGCCTGACAAGATTGTTAAACTGAATGACATTTTAGTAAATCAGGGAAAATGTATGATATTTATTTTTTGCTCAGAAAAACAAAAACAAAATTGCAATTAAATTTTTTTTTATTTTTGGGGGGGAAAACAACAACAATTTAAAGCAGTATTACACTTATTGTTTTTATGCGTAAACCCTTTTTCGTCTTTGACCCACATGTAAACTTATTCTAACCCTAACCCTACCAGTCTACTAATACTCTAATGAGAGTTAGTAGATATGTAGGTGCAACGTTACTTATAGTCAGCAGAATGTGTTAAAAGGGACCATCAAGATAAAGTGAAACCAAATATTGAAATTAGATGATTTTTTTAAATGACTTTCGACCAATTTTGATGAAACTGTTTAGTAGTAGTGATCATTTTGTTAACTATGCAGAAAAAATATTACAAAAAGGTTAGAAATTTAAGTATTATAAAAATGTTTTTTTTATTTTTTATCCAGGTTGTGTTCCAGTTTTTTAATCTAAATGCAGAGCAGAACCGAGACTGTGTGAAGCACTCTGGACTGTTGCTGTGGCAGTTACTCATGGCTCCTCACGATCAGATAGAGCCGGAAATACAAAAAGAAGTGTGTCTCGCCATCAGGTGAGCCTTGAAATGAAGTCAGAAAATCCAAAAAGTAGGGATGCACCGAATGTTCGGCAACCGAAATCGGCCGAAGCGAAAAGACCGAATAAGTTGTACCGAACAATGACGCAATCAAATAGCAACCAGAGTAGAGTGAGAGTCGCGCACTCTTTATAATGCAACACACGTCAGCAGTGTGGAAGCATTTAAACTGTCCGTGAAAAAGGCAAAAATCATTACAAGCACCGACAGCGAGAGACTGTTTAGGACTGCATCGAATGTCTTTGATGAGAAGAGGACGGGGGGATTGTTGCTGGTTTACTGTATTTATTTATTTTATTTATTTCAGGTTTATTTGACAGGGACAATGCACATCAACAATACATAAATGCACAATGTGCCAGAATTAGCCAGAAGGCTATTTTGCATCTGCAGTCCCTGGACTGATGGTAAAATTGTCACCCTAAAAATATAAAGAATTAATCAATACATAATACTTACATACTCTAAAATACATATACCATTCACACTATTCCTAAAAACAAAACATCTCCTTTGAAATCGCGAAATGGCCTTAAACAATTAGTAAATAAACTGCAGAACGTTATGTTTTCGCACAAATTGCATGCATTCTGACAGCGCTGCACGAATTCGTGGCGGAACTGCTTGTTAACCAGGGTTCAATCCAGGGGAAAATCTGCGCTGAAACAGTGTTACTCGTCAGTTGCTCATTTTAATTAATTTTTACAATGCATGTGACAATGAAATACGTGCAGCATATTCGTAATGAGACTCGTTTATAAATCTGCTGTTGTCAACAAAAAGAAGCATTGAGGTCTTCCTGCGCGTTTCGGCCAAAATAAAAGTTGACAAAAACTCTATCAACATTCATAAATGTTAGCATTGTTGTAATTTTACTGTTGTTCTGTAAAATAAATGAAAAAGACAGTAATAATGATAATAATAATTGCAACGGCTCTGTTAATACATTTATTATAACGTACACACATAGTGTTCAAATTGGGATCTGTAATATTTTCTAATGTTTTAAAAGAAGTCTCCTCTGCTCAGCAAGGCTGCTTTTATTTGTACAGTAAAAATACATGCCTGATTCAAGAAGGGGGTCTGATGGCCACAAATATTATATTACTAACTTATTAATTTTAAGTTGTGCTAGAATGTTAAAAAATGTTCAGTGTTAAATATTTTTAAATTGTTGTTTTGTAATTGATTTTTTCTTTGTAAAGCAAGACAAAACAGTAAAAAGTACATTTTGGCTATTTAATTTATGCAATGGTGAAAAAAATTGGCAAAATACATGGGGGGAAAAACCTCAAAAAAACGTTTTCGGTATTCGGCCTTCGGCCCAGTGTTTCATTTTCTTCGGTTTCGGCTTTGGCCAATAGTTTTCATTTCGGTGCATCCCTACCAAAATGTCAAAGAATATCTCGATATCTGCAATAACTATAAACCATTTTTCTGTTTGTCCGTTTTTCTCATTAGCTCAGGTTTAAACACTTTGTACCAGAGTGAATCTGAGTTGAACAACCTGCTAAAATTCGTTTTCACAGAGGGTGAGAATTGCAAATAGATACACATAGTACAGAAATCATACTTAATTATAAGTTAAGTTAGCATTGGTTTGCTGAAATTGCACAATTTCATATTGATAAGTAACAGTGGCAGTAATAACGGTTTGTTTGTTTTTTTTCTCTGCAGGGGAGAAGAACAGTGGTTTGTCTCAATTGCGTGATGTTATATTAAACAACCTTGCTAACCAGTTACAGAAGAACCGCTTTGGTAGTGAGGATGATGACCACTACAGGTAACAAGTTTCACTGCTCTTCAGATAGAAAGTGCTTGAGTTAACTTTAAACTGCTTGCTCTGTTCACTTCTGTATTTTACTCTGCTAGCATAAATTACATCAAATATATTCATGCATTTTCTTGTCATCTCAGCAAAAATGTGGTGTTATTCACCTTGACAACTGACTGTAAATGTGTTTAATATCTGTCATGTGCAAGCACTTTCTCCCATCTTCCCCTGCAGGCTGAACGATGAACTGTTGCAGTGTATCTTGAAGACTGTAGTGCGCGAGTCATGTCTGCTCATCACCAAATGTCAAACCGTTTCCAAGGAAGACCTTCAGAAGCTTCTCTCCACTGTACCTGTATGTGACTTTAAGAATTACTTTGATAAGAGATACTTTTACTTTTAAGTGAACTGAATTGATGTTGAAAGATGCAGTTCTACAAGCTGTTAGCTTTCATATGCCTTGTGAAAAAGAAGTGCGCTTTTAAATAAAGATACTATATTAAAAAGAGTGCTATTACTAAAATAATATACTTAATACGTACTTAAGTGTAAACTGAAGGTAATGTTTTCAGATACTTAACTGCATGTTAATTGCAATTAAATAAAAATATTGTAAAGTTTACATTTATATTAAATGCATTTAGCTGAACTTTATAGTGTTTTTGGCCCACTTAAGTAGGACTTAAGTACATCTTCATATGTAATTTCATAATTACTTCTATTGTCTTTGAAATATGGTTAAAGTACTGCTGAATGTACTGACAAGCATTTATGATAAACTAAATGCATCATGTATTTAAATGTAATTGTAAAGTTTAAATTTATATTAAATGCATTTAGCTGAACTTTAGAGTGTTTTTGACCCAAGTACATCTTCATATGTAATTTCATAATTACTTCTATTGTCTTTGAAATATGGTTAAAGTACTGCTGAATGTACTGACAAGCATTTATGATAAACTAAATGCATCATGTATTTAAATGTAATTGTAATTACTCGTGTGTAATGATGAAGCTGCAATTTAGTGCATTTAAAATATATTAATTTTAAATGTAATACTGAATAACACACTATAGTTCAAACGATAATCAAGTACTTCACGTGCTTTAGTCAACACATCAAAATAAGTGTACTTCTTTAAAACGTGACAGAAGATTATTAAAACAATGATTTAAAATGTACTTTAAAATAAAATTTTAAATTTGACATTATTTCAAGTACACTTTTTAAAATGCTTTTAGAAACATAGTCATGAAAGTGTCCCTCTTTAAGTCATTAAATGGCCTTTATTTCGTTAATATATTATCTGCAAGTACTTTTCTTTTTTTAAATACACTTTTAAGATTTGAAGTACACTACAAGTGCACATTCAATACGCTAATTAATACACTTCTTTTTCACAAGGGAAAATACATCTGTAATTTGAAATAATAATTTTTTTTTTTGTATAAATCATACAGTTTACTAAATCTCATTAACTGGCAGCACTTCCACATCAACAGGTAGCGTCACCAAGCTTGCGTTATTTAATGGCTGTGCAGAACCATTTGCTCAGCAACACCATCCTGCTCCACCCGGATGACATTGATGATAGTGACAGCTCCCTACAAGGGGAAACAATGAAGGTACAGGTAAACATCCCCTTTAAAAACCCTACAGTCTCTCGGATTGGTTAGTGTGGACTGATGGTGGCTCCATCCAGGAAAGGAGGAACATACAGGAATGCATTGCATTGGTATTAAATCGGTTCATTATAGTGTGGTCTGTACTGTACTGTGTTCCAGATATTCAGCTTTAAGTATTGGTTTGGCATTGCAACATCTGCTTTTGTGTGTGAATATGTGTGTTTCTCTAAGAAGTTGAGTTTTTTTTATTAAGTAATTCAATGCATTTAATCTCCATTTTATTTATTATTTGGTAAATTGTCATGAAATAAGCATTGGTAGTAGGCTTGCCGCAATAGACGGTGCTGACGGTGATACCGGTGTTAAGCCGCAACACCGGTTACGTCACTTGCCCACCGCGACACTGACCCCCACCGTCGTTTTGATTTTTTGTAGTAATAAAAATCATTTAGTTCAGTAAAAGAACAGACACTACAATTAAAAACTGAACACGGCTGCTCAATGCAGCGTGCCGAACGACAGTCGCATCACAGATCAGATTTCATTTCTCCAGTGAGGAGAGTGAGTCCAGCTGACTGACACGAAGAGTGAGGTGAGACAGACAAGATGATCGCGGATGATTTAGTTTCGAAACGAAATGCAAAAGCGCCTGTTTTTCATTTTGAAAAGCCTGTTGACTTTTGCCGTTTATCTAAGTTGATTTTGGAAGTTTTTTTAAACATTCGTTTCTTATTTAATTGGTTCCACAGTGTTTGCTGATTTTTACTTTATTTAAACTTTGTCATTTATTTATTTTATTTGACATCAAGGTGTATGCTGTGCCTCCAAGCTTTCTTACTCGTTTTGCTAATAAACGTTCTACGTTTCTTATTTATTTGGTTATATATTATACATGTTTACTTAGCCTATTTCCAGTTTTGTATACCTATTTAAACTTTATGTAAGTTATTTGTTATATTACATTATAGGCATAGCCTGCCCTTTAGCATGGTGTATTTTTATTCGTTTTGTTAATAAAAGTTCTATGTTTTATATATAGGCTAAAGTGAGTTTGACGTTGTGTTTTGTTGTTGCATTCAAGCAATTGACGCCGAACTGCCGCTAATTCGAAAGTGAAAGTAAAATGCGCACGGCGCTTTTAAGCTATTTAAAAGTGAAGTAAAGCGAGGAAAAGAGGGAAAATTCAAACGAACTAAAAACAAACAATTGCTTTACGCCGAATTGCCGCTATTTGAAAGTGAAAGTAAAATGAGCGCGCCGCTTTTACAAGCTATTTAAAAGAGAAGGAAAGCGAGAAAAAGAGGGAACGCCCCGCCCCCGCGGTGATACCGGTTGTCACACGTCGATTAACCGGTGGGAAAATTTCCTCACCGTCACAAACCTAATTGGTAGTATAATGTAGGTTTCTTTAGAAGGATAGGATGTCCACTTTTTGATGCGGGTTAACACTTTCTGTTTTCCTCTCATTAACACATATTAGTTGTGTTCTAAAATCTAGTGAGCTGCCTTGCTGTCTACATAAACAGCTGCCTTCTAAGTGATAATATGGTTAATATGGAACATGATCAGTGACCGATTTGAAACGCACGGTATGGGCAGCATCTCTCATAATGGACACTTACATGTGCCACACAAATAGCACTAAATACTTCTAAGCTAACAACAACAATTTAAGCAAAACATTCAGCAGTAGCATTACAAATGTTGGGTTAAATTCAGCATTTTTAATTAGATTGAACTATATTTATCAATATATCATAAATTGACTCTGATGTTTTGATGGATTTATTTTCAGTTGGAGCTGGAAAGATGTCAAAACATTGAGGAAAATTGATAACTGAATTCACAACAAGAAGTGTGCTTAATTATTGAATGTGCACTTGCAGTGTACTTCAAATCTTAAAAGTATGGCAGCTAATATAATTTTAATGAAATAAAAGGCCACTTAAGTGAGAGAGAAACTTACATGACTGTTTCTAAACACACTTAAGTACACTTTTAAAAAGTGCTCTTTGTAATAATGTCAAATTAAAAGTTTGGTAACACTTGTTACATATGTTACATGTACTTACTATTGTATTAACAATTAATTATGCATAATTACATGCAAGTAACCCTAAACCAAACCCTAACCATATAGTAAGTACATGTATTATTTATGTATATGTATAATTAATATTGCTCAGTAGTTAAATGTATAATTACACTGTAACAAGGACACCTTAAAATAAAGTGTAACCAAAAGTTTTGCTTAAAAGTATATTTAAAATAATAGTCAATCTTTTTTTTGTGCTTTAAAGAAGTGCACTTATTTTGACCAACATACTAAAGCACATTTTAACTGTAGTGTGTTATTTGATATTACATTTAAGTTAATATATTTTAAATGCACTAATTTGCATCTTCATCACTGCAAATGTTTAATTGCAAATATATTTAAGTACACTTTAGCCATATTTCAGAATAGAAGTAATTATTAAATTAAATTTAAGATGTACTAGTAAGATGTACTAGTAAGAAGTCCTAATTAATTAGCTCAAAAAGCACTTTATATTTAAATTGCATTTAATATAGATTTAAACTATAATAAATTTTCATCTTATTTCACTTAACTTGCAATTAAGTGTCCGAAAACATTACATTAGGTGTATTCTTATAAGGTATATGTGACCCTGGAGCACAAAACCTTAAGTCGCTGGGGTATATTTGTAGCAATAGCCAACAATACATTGTATGGGTCAAATTTATTGATTTTTCTTTTATGCCAAAAATCATTAGGATATTAAGTAAAGATCATGTTCCATGAAGATATTTTGTAAATTTCCTACTGTAAATATATTAAAACTTAATTTTTGATCAGTAATATGCATTGCTATGAACTTCATTTGGACAACTTTAAAGACGATTTTCTCAATATTTTGATTTTTTTGCACCCTCAGATTCCAGATTTTCAAATAGTTGTATCTCGGCCAAATATTGTCCTATCATAACAAACCATACATCAATGGATTATTTATTATTTATTCAGTTTTCAGATGATGCATAAATCTCAATTTCGGAAGAATTGACCCTTATGACTGGTTTTGTGGTCCAGGGTCAACACATTGTTTCTGTACTAAGTGCTCTTTTTTTTTAAAGTATGCTAGAGTGTACTTAATAGTTCACACGATTTCTGTAGCAGCTTTAGATGTTCTCTGAGAAATGTGTGTGTTAACTGAACGTGTTCCCGTCAGGAGCTGCAGACTAGTATCCTGTCACTAGCCTCTAAGATCCTGGTTGGATGTGACGAGGTTCTGGAGACGCTTCAGCAAGTCACCAGCTCCCTCATCAACAGCAGCATCGGCGATCGAGAGGCCAGGTGCATTCAGATATCAGCAACACTTCTTTGATGATGCTTTATTTGTATTTTGTGCATGTACTTAAGCTCTTTCTTTTATTTATAATTTTCTCTGTTTTTTTTTTTTTCTTTTAATACCAAGACTGAGAGGACTTGAACAGGTAACGAAGGCCACGATGTTGGGTCACTTGCTGCCGGTTCTCTTGACGTCACTGATGCACCCTAACCTACAAACCCTCACGCTAGCTGACGCTCTCATGCCACAGCTAGTCCAACTGGTCCTGTATACTAGTCAGGTGTGTATCACAATCAGAATCAGAAAGAGCTGATCTGTTGAAGATCTGTGAAAAGATGGAGGCCAGCTGGTCAGCACAGGTCAGCCAGTATGTGACTTATATCATATGTTACCCTGGAGCACAAAACCAGTCTTAAGTCGCTGGGGTATATTTGTAGCAATAGCCAACAATACATTGTATGGGACAAAATTATCGATTTTTCTTTTATGCCAAAAATCATTAGGATATTAAGTAGAGACCATGTTTCATGAAGATATTTTGTACATTTCCTACCGTAAATATATCAAAACTTAATTTTTGATTAGTAATATGTATTGCTAAGAACTTCATTTGGACAACTTTAAAGGAGATTTTCTCAATATTTAGATTTTTTTGCACCCTCAGATTCCAGATTTTCAAATAGTTGTATCTCGACCAAATATTGTCTCGATCCTAACAAACCATACATCAATGGAAAGCTTATTTATTCAGGTTTCAGATGATGTATAAATCTCAATTTCAAAAAATTTACCCTTATGACTGGTTTTGTGGTCCAGGGTCACCCATATAATATCATATCATATATCATATCATATCATCATATTATAATGGAGGTGCAAATATTTAGTGATTGTTGGATAGAAGGTATAACTATAGCATATGTATTGCAATAATCTATCATCATTTGGAAAGTGTTTGACATGCATAACACCTACATTTTTATGTATTTGCTTCCAAATACCGTATGTATATATTCAGTATATTACCTAATCGAAGCACACAGTTGCACCGTGTCAGTATTGTACACCACCACCAAGGCAGCATTTATTTGATAAAAAATGCAGTAAAATCAGTAATATTGCAAAATATTATTACAATTGAAAATAGCTGATTTCTATGTGAATATATTGTAAAATGTAATTTATTTCTGTGATGCAATGCTGAATTTTCAGCATCATTTCTGATTATTTTCAGTGTTGTGCTGCTGAATATTTTTGTGGAAACTGTGATACATTTTATTTTTCAGGATTCTTTGATGGATCGCATCAAAAGAACAGCATTTATTTAAATTTTTTGTAACATTATAAATGTCTTTACTGTCACTTTTGAGCAATTTAAT